GGTTCAGCACACATAATAGAAATAGATTTCTCAAAGAGATGGAACCTTCTATTCCTGTAATAAATATGCCCTAGAAAATTTTCCAATTCTTCAATGTCCTGCTAGCACAAACTTTAATCTTGTTTAGGAGCTCCTTGTAGACCTAAGAAAGTGTTAAGTTTAGAACGCTCCTAGCATAATTTAAAGTGAGGTATTTTAAATTTTTTTTGATATAATTAGTTATCATTTTAATCAATAATTAGTTATCATTTTAATCAAACCTTAGGAAACTACTTATAATTTATCCATAAACATATGTCTAACTTATTAGATACTTTATTTAAACCACATATCATGCCTAAGTTTGGGAACTTGAGAGGGATGGCCAATACCTTTAAATTGTTTTATGCTTTATCGTATATGTTACATGTGTAGGAAAGCATTGTTCATAGAAAAAATATTTGACCTTCTTCAACCAATCAAATATTCATCTCTTATATTTTTCATTTTGTTTTCTTGCTTTTGCATGCTATTCAATATAGGCTAACTTTTAATATTCCAAACCCACTAAACCCTGAACTTTAAGCTCCATTAAAGTAGTCACTACTTTATCATATTTGTTCTTTATAACCTTAATTAAAGTTTATGCACATATTCTTTTTAATGCTCACCAAATTAGTTCTTATGATCTTTGTCCGTATGTTGTCGAAACTAATAAAAACCATTTGATGCTGCTTTTTAATTGCTTTCCTGACTTTCCATTAACAACCTTTGCACAAAAATCTAATATAATTTTTTTAAGCTTATGTTTCAACATCCTCTCTCATAACTATGTTATATGAATCAAAAATGTAATTATTATAATCATACATATCTCATTTTCAAAAATAATAAAACAAAAATACTTCTTTATTAGTTTGGCATCTTAAGTATTTATGGCTTTATTAAAAAAATGTTAACCCAACTTTATTATATCTTTCTTATATAACTCATCAAATCTTAATAAGTATATCATCAAAGGCTATATATTTTTCTTTGTATGTCTTCTTCAAAATTTACTCTACTTTTTTAGATCAATACAAAGAAAAATCATGTTTAGTTTCAATTGATTTGCACATGCAATTTAGTTCAACTTTGAAGTACCGATTTGCTTCCTTAACGATTTCTCTTAAAAAATTAATAATTCTTAACTATTAAGTTTTGCCATATTATTTTGAGAAATTCTTTTTTTTTTTTACTTGTTACTTCCAACCAGCGGTCTATGTTGTATGATCAAACTTTATCATATTATTTCTAGAATTTTTGTTTTTTTTCCTTTCAATTCATGAGTTTTCATCTAAACCTTTGAGGTTAACAAAATGTTTTATTATTTGTTAAATTATGTGCTCAACATTGCATGATTAGATGCAATTGCAAAATCTAATGTATCTACTCCAATTATATTACTCACTCCTATTCCATGCCCACCATCATTCCACTTGTAACACATCTATTTGAATCAGCATGTTCATTTAAATCATCATTAATAATTCTCCTTTCTTCGTCAAATATACAGTGCAACCAACCAATCATTTTTTAAATAAAATTTATTTTTTAAAATGCTCCAACTTGAGATCCATAAGTGCTAACCATATTTATAATATAATTAATTATCCCCTCAATAATTTTAGTTTTCAAACATATTTATCCGTTGCTATCTCGATCCCATTCCTGTTACCTAAGGTTGTAATTGTGCTAAGCTTAAGCAAGCTCGAGCTTTGGCTGATATGCAAATGAGTAAAAAATTTTCTATTCATATTCGACTCGTTAACTTAGCATACCAAACATGAGCAATTCACGAAAATAAAGTTTTCTTGAAAGTTGTTTATAAATTCAAGAATTTACATACTATAGCGTTCATGTTTCTATTTATATATAATGTTTGTATATGTATATTTATCTATGCGTACATGCATGCATGCATGCATATACACCAACATAGATATATTTGCACACACATACAAAAATGCACAAGCCAGTACTATCAATCTAAAGACGGTTGAATGAGGCATTGTTTGTATTTTTCCCGCTAAATAAATTAGCTTATAAAACTGGTCGATCTTGAGCTAATTATCGAGCTAGACATGTTTGAACACGAACAATTGGCTTTTTGGATAGCTTTACTTTTTGTCAACCTTCCTGACATATAATTACTTATTTTCTTTTGTAGTGACCTAGGATTTTCCTTTTTCCTTTTATGTTTTGCAAACTTAAGGATATGTTTTTTCTTTTCATTATGTTAACTTATCTAAGGCTTTTTTATTCAAATTCCATATAATAAAACTAATTATGATTTATCAATTATTCTTTACTTATTTTTTAGTAAGATTGAGTTGAGCTGTGGTGCACTTGCGAGTGAAACCCTTGCCTACCCTCACCTAATTCTTATTTAAGTTGCACATATTATGTCTAATTTTCTAGCAAACTTCTCAGCAATTTCTGCTTCATTGCACCAGCTATTGCCAAATTAATATACATTTCATATATTTTGTAGTTTTATGATTGGTAGCAATTTATTTAACATCAATTCTCAATCTTTCATTTTCATGGTTGGAACATGCAATGAATTTTTTACTAAAGGATTTTGCCTTTGATCTTAGCTTTATTGTTTTTGAAAATCAAAGAATCTAGCTGACCCCACTTAGTGGGGGCAAAGTCTTGTTGCTTTTTTTGTTGTAGAAATCCAAGAGTTTGTTAGTTGTAGATTAAATCAAACAAAAAAAAAAGGATATTGGTTGTTAATTTTATTTTATTTTCATTATTTTGTCTATATAAGGCCAACCTCATTAATGAGTTATGATGGCGTCTAAGGGCAATTTAGTCTTTATTAGCCTAATCGCAATTTAGTCATTTGTCGTCTATGTAGCACCGACATTTCTAAAATTGTTTTATACCCGTGTCAGACACGTATTGGACGCTAACACTTGTTCGACACTATAAAATATATGTATGAATTTTTTTCAAGTGAAAGCACGTTCAAGACACACTTTAACATCTCATCAGACGTGAGCTTAAATTTTTTTTGGAGAAAATGGGACAAAAAATAAAAAAAATTATAAATATACAATATCAACAACACAAAAACAACAACAAACCTTTATCCTATTAAGTGGGGTCAGCTATATGAATCCTTTTTCTCTATTGCGTCCTATTGAGTGTCATATTTTCATTTAATCCTAATAAATTAAGATCAATTTTTTATACAATATGCCCAAGTCTTTCTAGGTCTACCTTTGCCTTTCTTAACATAAGTTGAGTCTAAAATATCTACTCTCTTAATAAGATCATCAGATGATCTACGTTTGATGTGACAAAACCATCTAAGACGACTCTCTATAATTTTGTCGCTACTGAAGCTACACCAACCATATCAAGGATATATTTTGTCTTTATTTGTCTTTAAGTGTAAAGCCACTCATCCACCTATGCATTCTTATCTCAACAACACTTAACTTAGTTTTATGCTTCTCTTGTAAAGGCCAACATTTAAGCTTCTCTTGTAAAGGTCATAGAGTTTTGCAGGTCTCACCACCATCTTATAAAATTTTCCTTTCGCTCTGTCAGCCGTTATTTTTTTTGAAATGGAAAGGATGATTTTTGTAGAATATGAAAATATTTTTAATATAAATATGATTTTTGAAAGTAACATTTTACTTTAAAAATATATGAGACCAAACGAGTCTCACATATTAAATAGTTTGGACGGTTGAGCGCGATACCACAAGTAATACACTATCCCGAAGGATAAGCACACCACTTTATGGTAGACTCTGCCACCTAAATTAAGGAGTTTGTGACATCCTTTTGGTCTGCAAAATCTTTTATAAATGACTGGCAAGTTCCCATACCTAATATAAGAATTAGATAAGATTTATTTTACCTGGGTTCTAAGTTCCCTATAGAGTCAAACCCCTATAGTTTATTATATCTTAAATGACCGGAGAAAATTCTCGATTAAGATCAGTGATTTTACCTTCCAGATTTCAAAATTTAGGCTTCCACGATTGGATATGGGAAAATCAAACGGGAGTGACTTAAATAGGAACTGTTATTTTAAGGATTTCAAAGGGGCGAAGAGTAGGGGATATCACAGATCCAGGGAGAAACCCCGGTGACCTCCCAATTATCCTATTGTTTGGCTTTATGTCTTTGAAATATTGTTACTCAATGTTTAATCCTGTAATTGCTTTTTAGAATTTAGGACTTACATTCGCATGATATTTGATCGTGCAAATAGCCTAGAAAGATAGGAGGATTTACATCGTACCGGAAGGTAACCTCAAAATCCTAAAAGTGTTAGGATTTATAATTGCACAACAGGGTTGTTTGCGCTAAGCAAACCACCTCAAAATCTTATCGCTTGTTATTTAAACTAAG